GTGGGTCAATCGAACTATTTGAACTGCCAGTTTCAATTTCATTCGGTGCCACTATATTATGATGGTAGGTACTAGGTACTGTAGTTGTTGGGTTATGATAGCTGCGAAAGTGCGAATGATGGATTATCACWGAACGAGACAAGACGGAGTTAAAGCCTACGGAAATGTCGAAACTTGTTGAACCAAATATGAGACAACCTATAGCTATATGAAATGACTTGCATCGTAGATTAAACCATAGTTTAGGTRGGCGACTACTTTTATAAACCGAGCACGTAAAATAGCGTGTCATTCTTAAATCTTAAGACTTAAAATCCAACCGGGTGGCAGAGCATCAATTTTTTTTTATATGAATACATAGGCTCTGATTTCCATGAAAAGCAGTGGATGATTGCGATTCAGAAGATTTCCAACGACACACCGCATATTATGATCTTTAGGCGTTATTAGTAGAAGAAGAAGATAATCATAATTCATAATATATTAGGTAGTTGAGCTTGAAATGCTTGAATGTTTGATACATGGTAACGTAACATGTCAATGTTTCAAACGGAGTAGGTATTAAAATCTATCAATGACCTATGATTCATAAATATATAATATTATCCCCAGTGACCAATATGTATTACTGTATTAGTCGTGATTAAATTACTATATTTAATATAGAATTATTCATAGCCGATGGTATCTATTAGGCCAATTAACATTTTGTTGTGCGGCACGTATACTAAAACTGAATTTTTCATTCTAAAATCCAACATTCTTTATTTAAACATTTTTAAAGAGTAAATAAAATAAAACACATATAAAGTTACATCAAAATAACATTTATTTTTACTTTTATAATTTTTAATGATATCRTTCAAATGTAACTAATTTCAAAAATGACACCTCTGGACTATGAGGTATTTCCTAACTTAGAAGGATACATATTRCCAACATCTAATCAGTTGATTATACGGACTTACAGAAATTTTTCTGAGTCACATATCAATATAATTCCCTAAAGATAAATAAATCCGATCATTTGATCGAGTATCATTTCTATATTATATTTGTTCTATGGTATTTGTATACTCTTGTRACTATTGATTCTGTAACATCATTTAAGAGGTTTCAAAMTTTCAACTATAGGTATTCTATTTTATAACGTCCCATTATTTTTATAAATCTGTAGTTTATAACTGGTTCAATACTTCAATGAGTACAATATAATATTAGCCATTTTGTACACGATGTACGAAATCAATTAAGCAACTAAACAGTTAGCTCAATTTCGTATTATTTAGTATCTGATATTCATATAACTACAATTAACCTCCTTAAACCATAATCAGTTCCTTGTTGTTTATTATTGTAATCTGTAAAATACAATTGAGAACGGTAAGATTGAGAATGTTATTTTTGGTAACACGATTGAGAACGCTCGAGTTTTTTATTTTTTTCCAACGTTGCCAAATGTAATTGATCGATAATATRTGAGCACAATAATCTGTTGATATTTATCGTACTTTTATCKGATTAGTCGGATGTTAATAGTAACTTAGATACCTGATACGAGAGTTTGACGGTTAGGTTTTGCAGTCGTCGCCCAAACTATCCGTCACTAAATAATATTATCATATACTACGTATAGCATATTCCTTTGAAAATGAAAACTAACGAAATACAAATATTATATTTATTTCATTTTTATATATACACTTAGCTATACAGGTTTTAGATATTTTTATAAATTTTACGTATTTTAAATTTCTTATTAATGTTATATATTACATAGTATTAGGCGTTTAATTGTATACGATTATAATTATTAACTTACAACTTTTTTCAAAAATATTTATTTTATGTATACTGAATTTTTAAAAAGGCAAATAAATAATATGGCAACGTTGCAAGTAAATTCGTTCTCAATCGTATTGTTTTTTGAGGGGCCAGCGGTAAGTTCTTTGTTAATTTTAAGTGTTCTCAATCGTTCGGCCAAAAAGATATAACGTTCTCAATCGTTCGATAGCCATTGTAATTTATGCGACATCGAATTTTGATAAAAAAAAGATCATTAAAAGATTAGATAGTTTATTTTACAATCAGAGATTGGATTAAAAATATAATTTCAGTTACTCCATGTAAGTACTCTTCAACAAAATGATGGTTATAAAATAATAAATAATGATAGGTAATGTACCTATAGCACAATGTGGCTACTATTAATAATAAAAGTGTTATTAATAGAAAAAAAAATACAGTGGTGTATTATATTATTAGTTTATTACATAACTAGTGCGAAGTGTGATTCGCTGAGTTAAAAAAAATTAAGGTTGCAAATATTTAATTTAAGCTATTAATATTTTTAACTATTTATTCAACTTTGAGCGTTTATTTGCAGTGTAATTTGGCAAGAAAAAAAATCAATACTTTTTTCCAACTCGCTGATAGTCAAGTACCTTTGACCGGCACATTTTTAGCACGTGTTCGAAAAATTTGATTATTACACAATACACGTGACTAAAGAGATGTAGACGTATTTTCATTACCGTTAAATAATATACTCTTATTATCAGGCTACAAATGCCCGATTATTATTCAGGTGAGTAATATTATTATTATCTACTTGTAATAATATATCAATATGAATAACGTTTTTCTACATTATATGTAGCAAATTTTAATGCAAATACTATTTATCTTTAACCGAGATCCACAGTAACAGTTAGCAATTAGTACCTATAAATTACTATCAAATTATACGTCATGTTAAATAGAACTTTGTAATTCACATTAATATGTAAATATATGTTTATAATATATTACATTATGTATTATGATATCTAATATCTACACAAGTGTTGAAGTATACAATACATATCACATACTGCTGTGTACTCCATACGGTGCTATAATGGCTTTGATAAGTTTTAAAATAGTGGAGTTAATAAGATGATCAATAACTCACATGAGCATATTATCATGACGTCGGTGCCTACACTAATACATTTAAATATGTCCATATAATTTAAATCATCAGAAACTCAGAACATAAATATTGTGATTTGTGAATAATATATAAAATCATCAGCTTGTAAATAAAATAGAATGATATAATATGAAAAGAAAATTAAATCTTGTTATATCTATCTTATTAAAATACTACCTACTGATAAAATAATAATTTATAAAAACTTATGACATATATGACAATTTGGTAATAATTTTTTTTGACTCCCTCCAAGTTATAAATAAGTAATTAAAATACTTCATAAAACATGAAACAATTAAAATCAGGATTTGTATGCATTTCCTTTTTTTTAAAGAGAGACAGAGTATGCATTCAGTTAAAGGAGTAAAAAATATTGATAATTTGTTTACCAGAAAACGAATAGAAACAATGTCATTGACATTTGCAATCGTATTTTTGAGATTTTTAAGTTTCAGTAAGAATATATTTTATGTGAATCCTTTTATTAATTTTTTAATACTTGGCTATTAGAATTGAACATTTTATTAATTTTTAACTACAAAATAATTTGCAAAATTTCGGGATGAAATGCATTAAAATTTGAACTTAAAATATGTATAAAAAAATTGTGACTACCTACACATTTAGTTTCAATAATTTTTAATCGAGGTAAATAAAATCGAAAATTTCAAAATCTATGAATGACACGAAAGATTCAATTTATTTTGTTATTTCTTATAAATTAAAACATGGATATTTGATGAACATTTTAAGTTCACAGTTATTAATTTTGTAATTAAAACAAAAACAATTTTGTCGAAAATAGGGTGTCTAAATAAGTGTCAGGGACCAACTCGTTATTAAAAACTTTTGTTTTTTTTTTTCGTATAGCGCTATTGTTCGGGAGTAGGCACGAAGGCCTAGTTCGAATGCCATTTGGCAGAATTTCTAGTGGACACTTGTAGGTTTTTGCCATGCCTGGGTGGGGGGTGTTGGCCTCTCTTTCCAAACAGCGTGAACTGCCCGGAAAGCGATGCCGCAACCGAAGCCTTAATCCGCCCGATCACTGCACTTAAAAACATTTAATACATATATAATTCTTGGATTGCGATTTAAATTAACTAATATTTAAAAAATGATGAAATTAATTACTAAGTGGTGGTAAAACTTACTTTATTGACTATTCATTTAATCTTGAATTGCTTCTATTATATTGTTAATCATATTTTTATGAATTAATAGGTAATATTGATATTTTTGGTTCATTTGAATCCTAAATGCCTATATACTATATAGTATAGCTGCTGTTAGCAATTTATCATTTTTTTCATTTATCGTTGTTTTCAACTTAAATTAATGTAAAAACTATTTATTTATTTCAATTTTAATGTTACGAAGTTAAATTTAATTAGGAAATATATTATTCATAATTGGTTGTGTAGTCATATAACTTTGATTGACACATTCAATACAATACATGTACCTTTGAAAAAATACATAATTACAACTTATGGTATTACAAGAAAAACAGATTCATTTAATATTTCAGAACAATAATTTTTTTCGGAAAATTAAAAACAATAGCATGATATTATAAATTCTAAATAATATAAAATAGGATAATTAATCAACTTAGTCTACATCATAGGGAAGTTATAACACTTGCAAACAGCAAAGTTACTATTAGAGCTATATTCTTAATTTTAAACCTATTCAATAAAATAAAATATATAATACAGTTTCAAATAAAAATACAACTATTTGTAAATATATATAATATTATTATGTAAGCAATGACTAATTTTTAAATAATACGTAAGCCGATTCAAATATTGTATATTACCTATAATATATGCCTAATACGTAATATATAGGTAATACAAATATTTACGTAAAATAGTATTTGTCGCTATCGAAACGAGAGCATATAATTACAAAATATATAGTATCAACTTAAAAGCGATTTGTAAAAAACAGAGTAAAAAAGGAAAAATTATCAAGTATAGAAATATTATTAAAGTGAACAATACGTAATTACACATAATACTTTTTATACCATTATATATTTATATAATGTAAAATTTTAAAATGTGTAGGTAATAATTGTAAATAATTGTAAAAGTCCTCTTTTACGAATTCGGTCCGCAACATGCATGAATTAACTCCTATATTCGGTTAAATATTTATATTTTATGCAAATAATGTAATTTTTATTTTATATACAATTTTAATTACGCTTCGAACAATGTTTATTTTAATTCTTGTTTAAAAAAGCTGTTTTAAGACGGAAGTTTGAAGAAAAATTATTTTTTATGAACCACAATATGTTTAATACGATTTTGTTTAGAAATGCCAATCCTGGATTTCTATATTAGGTACTATTTAAAATATCAATTATTATACCCACATAAAAAATATTATAAATATCTACGTCTCATAATAATATCATATTATAATAATTATATTATACCTGYTCGTATAGTATTATTATACATGTCTATGCGGTTTATAACTCGAAGCCTTAACATAATATAATATTGTAATATTTGAGCTTCTGCGCGAGGTGTGGCGATCGCAGGGATGGGTCGGTGGGTATTCGCGAGTGATGTGTGCGATTGATGTCGGCGACAACGTGAGCACGACACCGCCGATGATGTGGGTGGACGGTCAGTGCACTCCCGGTGCGGTGTAGTTATTGGCGGCGGCGGCGGTCGTATTGGTGATGGCATCGATGACCGCCACCTTCTGGAACGCGCCGAATATCTCGTAGACGCTCGCGTACGTTCCAGTGACGAATCCCAGCGCGCCCAACATCAGCGTGGCGCAGTTCATCACCATACGCCAGTTGAACAAGCCGTAACCGTTACCACCGTCGTCGGCACTGGTGACGGCCATGTGGCACAGCGGCGGGAATATCAGCGCCAGGAACGTGCTGGCCACGGCGCCCATCATCGATATGAACAAACTCAGGTGTGGTATTACATCAGCAGCGATGACTGAAACACGCAAACGTGTMATTCAAACAATATACATAGCAATGTATAGGTACCTCATACAGGCGTTCGCACGCCGCACGGGTGTTGCAGGGTATGCCATGACAACACCCGCGGGCTGCAAACACTCGCCTACCTCGAATATATATTAAAATTGGATAGAATGGTTACTAAAGTTAGATGGACTAATTAATATATTTACTTGTTTTTTTGTTGATATTTTTAGTTATTCCAGTCACTAGATGTTCTAGTGAGAGATCATTCTCAAAACTTTTGTTAGTGAATTCAAAGTTACGGAATACAATAAAACAGGATAGACTTGATTCTTTACTGTTATTATTTATAGACCAAGAACTACTGACTCAAATTGACTACAATGATGTCATCGGTGTCGGCCTGGCCAAGGCCGAACGTATCCCCGTCCGTATTTGTGTCGAGGGGCCCCGATATCACTAAATACGTAAAAATATACTACTTATCCTACACTACTTATATAAGCATTTTTTTTTTTATCATTTTATGAAATAATATTTTTGGTGGCCCTTCTGAAGAAATGCATCCGGGGTGCTTTAAGTACCAGGCCGACACTGGATGTCGTTGAAGAATTTAAAATATTAGTTCCCGGGGAAAGACGTCTAGCATTGTGATAATAGTATGTATTGACGACGTACTGTATAAAATAAATGACATTTTTGTATTAATCAAATAAATAATATGTGTTGACTTATTAAATATAATTTTCAGCAACACCTACCACTAAGTTCTGCGCACACCTATGAAGTACCTATACCTATACACGTTATTATTGCAGCGGTTCCCAAACTTTTTACCCTTTTTTGAACCAAATACAGCCACGGTGTCATCGGCGCAACTAGATATTTGAACAAGAGGGTGCTAAGCTCCAGGTTTTTTGTGAATTAATAGGTCCTAACTTTTTAAACAGTTTCTTAGGGCGCTTATTTTGACTTAAGGGGTGCTAAAGACCCAAAGCACCCCCCTACTGACTGCGTCAGCCGTCAATGCAAGGTGCCCTGCTGAATACCAAGAAATACAGGACAAAAAAATACTCATTAATGAGAAATGTTTGAGACAAAATTCTATACGTTTTAAATTATCATTTATTATGAGGTATAGACTGCCACCGCATTAAAAATTTAAAAAGTGTTCGCGGTGCTCCGTTTAGGAACCACTGCGTTGTTAGTCAGTTCGGGTCTTAGAATACGAGTGCTCCTAATAACTAATCATTAGTCGCACTGCCATAATCATCTCTACTCATTCAAAATTATATTTCTATGTATATTCAACTTCAGAATTTTTTTTTTTTTAACTTTTATTTTTTAAAACATACAATCTATAAATAAATTTTACAATAAGCATGTATGATGATTTATATAACATATTGGCATGGTTGACATGATTAAGCAATCACCCAGCGGTAACACTTACTGGCTAGAATTATAGTTATTTAAGGTCACGGTTCCAATTATGCTTTAACCTTTTTGGTGGGTTTTCGGGAATGAATTCAAAATTTAGAGCAATGATTAGAGGATTAGAGTGGTTTCTAAGACGGGCACGGAACTTTGGAATTTTAAACAAAAAATATATGCTGCCATAATCAAAAAAGTAAAACATTTTTTTCCATTTTCTCATACCACCTCATTACGCGACCGGAATAATGGAAATAAATATTTGTCATCTTACACCAACAATTTATTGTTTAAGGGTTAACGCACTTAAAATATCAAGTGATACTTTTTTTTCCTCTAAGAATGCAAGAGGTACCGCCAGCAAAAACTACAATTTATCCTACACACTTCATGTATTATCAATGTGCATAACGTATTAGTAATCCGGTATTACTGAATAATATGATCATTATTATGATTTTATAGAAAGAATTAAAATTCAATAAGTCACCATCTACACGTGCTCTGTCAAGCACTCACTTACAATCCACAAGTAGTTGCCTATGTATTAGGCAATATATTGCAATATTCGACAAGAAATAATGATGTGTTGACATAAAATCCGAATAAATTCACGACGTGATAATTGACATCATAAACGAGTTGGAGCATGCGAACTATAAACATTTTCGTTTGCAATATAACACGTAAGTTACGAATGATTTTCATTCACATTAATGGCAATGTCAAGACGTCATGAGTATCGCGGATGATTTTAAATTAATAAGAAAAACTACAAGCCTCGTTTGAAAACGTAAATAAATAATAATCATTAATATTTAGATACTAACATGTAATGAGCACCAGTATTACACGTAATCCCGTATCCCATAGTAAAGGTGATCTGAAGGGTCCGAATTTTTGTTCGACTTTTGGCCACAAGATTTCCACTGGTACATAGAACTGCAATGTGTATGTGCATATGATACCGAACATCATACTCGAAATGACAACTTTAGATAACCTATTAAATATGAAATTTAATTTTAAATACAATGTGTTGAGCTTATACCATATATATTATATAATTACAAAAATTCTTCTGGCAAGTTTAAAGTAAGGCTGCCTCGCACTGTGTCTCCAAATCTTAAATACCCCATAAAACCAGTAAGAACTATAAGATTCGTAACGATAACCATGCCCACGTTTAGTACTCCAAACGCAGAAGAAAATTGTTTTGGATTTTTCATTTCTTGTTCTAAAGGTAAGACCTGAAGTATAAACGTCAAATATAGATAAAATAATAAAAATAATACATATATTATGGTTAACTATCAGACTTTATTCGGACAAAATTTACCAAACTAATTCCTTCGAATGAAAAAATACTGGTGCCGAAATATAGAGGTATTGTTGTCCAATGAGCAACAGCGGCTCTTGATGACAATGGAGGTAAATCAATACTACAATAGTACAGAATAACAACCAGACCCACAAGCATACACATATTTGCTATTGCAGACAACCGGGCGATGAATTTTAAGCTTCTGATGAGCGATGAAATCATTACAGGCACCATCGTTATTAATATACTTACGTGCACGTCTAATTGTATGTTATACCAGCTCAACACCTAAAAACAAATTTAAAGTAACATATTAAGTAAATAACGTTTATTTTTTTATCTGCCGTCGGTGTATTAATAATTCAAACTCAAAGTGCCTTCACTATAGCGATAATAAATTAAATAAGCAATGAAAAAAAAATTGAACAATCATTGTAAATAAATACATTTTTAAAAAAGAACAAAACAAAAAAGTAAAATCGTTATTCTTTAAAATATGATTTTTTTTTTAAACTGTGTTTGTATATTTTAAATAGGTTTGGTTACAGAAAAAACTACTTATTTGCAAAATTTCATTTTTGTAAATTTACAATGATAAGCAATAAAAGTTTAACATTTTATACATTTTTAACTACAAAATAATTAATACATTTTGAATTTAATAAATGTTGTCAAATTTAGAACTTTATTTCTAACATTGTTTAACACTTTTTTTTGCTCATCTTTAACTGTAAAAGTGCCTTCACTGGAAGGTATCTTTAATCCGTCCTTCACGCCATAGTTATCTATTTCATCAATTTCACTTATTGTTCAACATTTATGTAACAGATTGTGGAAATATAAATAAAGTAATAAAAAAAAAAATTTAGAACTTTAAATGCTTACAAAAAAAAATTGTGCCTATGTAATTTTAATATTTTTCAACTAATATCCTAACAATTTATAAGGTGCCTTGTATTAATTTTTAAAGTTTTTTAACCCAATCAACAACATTTTATTTAAATTTCTAGAAAAAAATTTTGAAAATATCACATCAAAACAAGACGAAATATTTTGAAAATGTTATCAAGTATAAAAACTTATAAGACGGACATTTTGTGTAATTTTTTTAAAATTTAAATTTGAATGAATTTAACTCATCAATATTTCAAAATTACTGGTTATAAAGTATACCTATTATACAAATTAATACATTTTATATGAGATTATTCAATTTATTTTAAAATTTTAGTTTTAAATATTGTATATACCTTTAGTGTTACTTAAACAATTAAAATTAATTAATAACATTAAACAAATTATAGAAATAAATTATTTATATTTTTAAAAAACAAAATCAACTTAATACAATATAATAATTTAATCTAACCCTGGTTTGTGGATAACATAAATTCACATAAAATATGTATTTTTTTTTATAAAATTTAAATTGCAACTAATTTTCTTAAAAATATAATGATTTAGTKCCCAGTAACACAAAAAGGGTGATATACTTGTTGCAATTATTTTTAGTTTGAACTTTTTAAGGCATTTTGTACAGTTCATAGTTATAACACTTATAACTTATAAATTATAGGTAATATAAAATAATGAAGCTCACGTTTAACATACGATTATATTGTTCAATTTTGTTTTATTGTTGAAAACAAACCGTAAAAAAATGTTGATATCCAATTACTTGTTAGTTGTAAGTTATACTACAACATAAATTATCGCACATTTGCGATGTTTATTTTAATCATTTTTTTCAAGAATAAAACGATATCCTGTTGTGGGCAACGAAATCCTAAAAGATAATATACTACTAGTACTACGCTATAAATAATGTTGTATTATTTTAAATATATATATACTGTAAATATGAAATTAACTATAAAGCTGTATAGATACGAGTAGATAGAATCTCTGACCTTACACAATGTATAAAATGTATTTCCATATTATAATATAAACAAAGCTATAAAACATTATATCGTGCAGCCCGCGGTGTACGTGTTAGAACTCCTAAACCAGCAGTCCTTCTAAATTCAGCGAATACGATTTTTAACGAAAACGACAACTTTTCATTGCAAACACGCAAGCCGCCAGATCAAAGGAGCCGACATCATAATATTTAAGGAAGCCTGGATTACAGCATAATCAGGACGTGCTGAGCACCTTCAAGACACTCAGCCTCACGAACACACACACACACTATTGTGAACTATTATAATTTTTGCTCATTAATTCATAAAATAATGAACCATAATTTATTCATATTTGGGAATTGTCTAAAAACTACAAACAATCATTAAAAATCGTCGTCGTCATATTGATCGATGGAAGGCAGCATGCAATAATCTTTATATTTTAATATAAAATATAAATATTGTACAATAAAAACATATTTTAGACATAATAATTGACCTTACCTGCTGAAAGGATTTTGATACGAAAAGAATGTAAACACAACAAAATCCCAACTGCGTGATCACTATAAAACTATTCACACTATTCCTAAACAAAAAAAAAATTGATAATAATATTTTAGCAATTATTAAATGCTATTTCAATTTTATGTCGAAAGGAATTTTTTAATATGTGAACTATTGAGGTATATCAATTTTTATAATCATAATATCAAATTACAATAGTTTTTATCAATATTTTGATTTTTATATAATTTAAATTAAACTATAATTAGTGAATTAAATTAGTTAAAAATAATTGCTACTTACCGAAAAAAAACTGAGTAACTTTGAAATCTCTGAGGCCCACTTTGAAAAGATAATTCTACTGTCTCAGCAAATTGTGGATTATGTTGTAATTTAAGTTTGTGTTTAACACTTTTTGAACACTGCACCTAAGAATAAAAATATCATAATGTTTATGTAATATTTTAATATAGGTTGTCCCGTATGTTAATTTCCACTTTTTATTTTATTCATACATCTTTTCACATTTCGATTTTTTGGAATTTTAAAATATTGAATATATTAAAAGAACCTTGGTTTTATTTAAAATAATTTTTTTTTTGGGTTAATTTGATATTATCGGTTGTTTTCTAATTTAATAGGTATACATTTTGGCACAACATTTGCATCCTCAAAAACCGTTTTTTCTATGCGTGGAAAATGTTTCGTTCACATACCTATATGACTTATTAATTATTATCATCATTATTATAGGTATTAATATTAATAGGAGTGGATTTTAATAGATACTAATTACTTGTAAACTAAAAATTACAAATATTGCATTAGGAGCTTATTGTACAAAGCTAATACAATATTATATTTAAAGATAATTAAAAAAATATATTTTTCAATATTCATTGATTCTTTGAATTTTAAAAAAAGACCAGGAAGTTTTAAGATTTCTAATAAACAAGGAGTGTATTATTTTATCAAACCGATAACCCATTAACTTTGACATTACGAGTGGTATTATTTATAATAAACTGAATTCATATTAATAATTTGACACGAATTAAGTTAAAATGGAAAATTTGAAGACATTATTAATTTTATCGAATTAGATTTTAAATAATAAATTATTCTATTTATTTATATGCAATACTATTCTTATAAAATAGTTCATTACAACGATTGCTTACTAAAACGTGTTGATTGTAAACACAAATAATTCCAATGATAAATGTTAAAATTGGCGACAAAAATAATCCTCCATTTTTAAACGCGTCTCCCATAGCTAAAATTCCACATCCAACATTTCCTTTCAACATGTTTATCAGTGTGTCTAAATAACTAAAAAAAATTTCCAATTTTTTATCGAAATTATCATATGATTTCACGGAGAAACGTATTATGTATATTGCAGTTTATAAAACTTACGAAGTCGGATGAGCGGTTGGATTATAGACTATAGACAATATACTAAGTCTGTGTTCGGCATTTTGTCTTTTTATATGTTCGGATTTGCCATTTGACCGAACGTTCACGCAATCCGACATCCATTTCTCTTTGGCCATATTACTGCTCTCAATCATTAAAAGCGACGATGTCTCGTCGTTTATGGATTTAGGTGATATCGATTTTCCGGGTTTGTCGATGTTGTCACTTGCTGTTTCAGGGAGTTCAGCCTGTAAAAGTAAACGAATAAGCAGATAATTAATTTAAACTCTATACATCTGATTATTAATCCAAACTTGCACTGTATGAAATATTAAATTTTTTATCCATTTTCGCTTTTAAATAAGATTAAAATTATTGTTATAAAATTGCACTTAAGGCTTAAGAATAAACGCTTGTTTAAGAATCTTGACTACAAAATGATAATCAAATATAATTATCTCAGTTATATTATACACCGCCACCACATAATTTTCATACAATATCGTATGATATTTATGAATATTAATTGATCCAAATTAAAAATGTACTATCGAACATCGAGCAACGGTAATAATTATGTAATATAGCTATTAATCAACATCGCAATTTTACCGATGGATCGTGGATGCTCTTAATTCTTAAACATAGGTTTTATTTTTAGTGTTTAAAACTATACTATAAAAAAATCAAAAACAATAATGAGCAACAACTTTTAGGATGCATTTTAGGGGGTATAGGAGATGATTACCGATTATAGTAGACCAAGATCCAAAAAATAACGTTGGTAAATACCTATTTATGGTTGATTTTTAGTTATAAATCAAAATAATTCGTCTATGGTAAAGTATTCCAAAAATATTTACCATGGTACCTATTACAACCAATCTATACGAGAAGATACCTATGTAATATTAAATTCATGTAGTCAAATAGAAAACTTCATTCAAGTAGGTACTTGGGTGATCTAACTGGTATACCACAAAAATATCTAGTGATTTAATACACGTTTCAAATTTAACTAAATTTTATTAGGAAAAATTCAATTTTGTTCAAAGTACCTAATCGATTTTTAAATACAATATTTAGTAAAATTTCGATGCTAAAAACGTTTATCTAAAACAAGTAGTTATTTTTTACAATTCTTTAAAATATCAATATTTTTTAATTGAAAACGTAATACTATTGATTTTTTCAAAATATTATTTTCGAAAATCAGACATAAGTAAATCTTCAGTTATTTATTATTCATTTATTTTCAAAAATGTTTTCATACGTCTAAGTTTTATGATTTTACATTTTTTATTTGACGGGTCTCTCCATTAAACCTTCTATATGCAATTTATATAAAGTGTATCGATATCGATGGAAATACACACTATAATGAAACACATGCATTCTGCAGTGTGCATACAAATATGTTACTTTTGCATAATATTTTTATATAACTTAAACCAATATTGTATCTTTTAACTTCCAACCTAATACAATTTTATCTAAATTTGTATAACACTTGTTATTTATTCTTACAATGGAAATTAAGCCACTAAATCAAGTAGCTAAATACTATTGTTTAATATATAATATCTAAACTTAATATATACATCTACATAAGTGGATTACACAGATAATATAGACGAAAGTCTTATGTATATAATATATACAGTATGTACAGTGTATTGTAAAACCTACCAGTAAGTATATTAAATAATAAGTCATATTGTTTTATCTAAGTGCTAGATAATATGCAAGACGTAAACACCTATAAGTATGAATTATAAAGCCCAAAATACACTTTTATATCCGACGTACATCAATTAGAAAAAAGGTAGTTAAATAATATGTTCGTTAGAGTTAGTGTTAGTATTAGTGTCACGTTAGTGTTATATAACATTTGTGTTTCGACTTGCAATAATTATAACTTCTGACTTCTAAGASCATAATATGTATATAAGCATTCAATTCGACTAACTATATACATATTTAGAAGTTACAGTACTATTCAATTTTGTTATCAAATATTATAATTATTTATAATTAATATAAATTGGCCATTGATAATAGATAGATTTTTGTATAATATTATGTGATGAATGTCTATTATTTTAATTGCAAATTAAATATAATAAAAAATTTAAACAACATCTCGTAGTCATGATCTATTTAATACGGTTAAAAAAATTTTAATCCTTATGTAAAGAACTGAAACATTCTAAAACTTTTTAGTTTAAATATATAGGTATTCATTTAAAGTTATTTTATCTATATTGTTAAAAATGTAAATTCGTGATGGGCGTAAAATATGTTAGTTAGTAATAATTAATACCTAAATTGTATGTATGTACATGTAACGCATCTATAATGTTCATCGTTGCATTCAAATATTAAAATAAACTTCGAACGGGAAAATACTAAAATTATTTATGAACGATACATAACACTCAATATAAGCTAAAWATATTGTATTTCCTTAGTAAATGACGGTGAATATCAGTATAAACCTAATTTCATTACATTATTCAGATATTCAACAGTTTTTAATTTGTTTATAATAATACAATATTATAATTCTTTGAAACGTATAACTTTTAAACAAAATGCGTCGGAAAAATGTGAGTAAAAATACAATCATTAACCAAATTAAACTTTGATTTTTTTTAAATAATATTTTTTTAAAAATTTAAATTAAAATCCTTACTGCTTTTAGATCGGTAGAAGTCATTAATCTTAAATTTTCATTCCCGTTTATTGATGAAGTAATCTCTTCTGTGGGCAACATGATTATTTCAAGAAAACTATCCCACGGTGAAAAAAATTTTTTTAAACCTTCCTGGAAAACCAAACTTCACCGAACTACCGAATCAAATAGCGTCTAGTTATGAACTAACGTGACCCTCTATTTAGATTTAAAGCAAACAATCGACTATACAGAAATAGTAAAATTAATGTTAATGAACAATATCGTTTCTTGTATCACCTTGATAAGACCTACCTCTTTATTTTTTTGTACAATCTAATTGAAAAATCAATTATTTTTATAAGAGCTACTTGAAAATGCACAAAGTTTATAGATAACTCACAAGTTTAACAAATACCAATTTGTTTTACTAAAATTTAGCTGTATAAATTAGTGTTTTAATTATAATAAATTATATTATAAGCAGTAAAGGCTCTAAGATATTTAATATAATTTCTTGAAAAATAATTTTTTTTATTTTACTTTTAGAGATATTAGGTATAAACATAAAATAGTATTGCAGGTACGATTACAATAAATGTAATATCAATGAGTTACTTTAAAAAAAAAATCAAATTATGAGATTATAGGATTATATAGTGTCGGCCGAATGATTTTTATTGTATTAAAATCGGATTTTATTTACAAACAGTATTGTGCGATCCCCAATTATAGGCAACAGTAGTTTATTGGGATTTATTTGTTTTACTTTTTTGCTACAGTTCTATTGAAAATAGAAAAAAATACATATGTTTGTTTTGTCAATTTAAAAATGTAATAACAATTCTATCAGATACATCTGGGCAGTAAAGATAATACGTTGATCCAGTTATTTATTGTAACTTGTAGATCGTAATAGTCCAGACTCCAGAAGTCCAATATATAGTCATAGATATTACATATATTACTTAAATAACTATAGTCTATATTAAACAGTTAATATCTTGCTTTAATACTGAGTTTCAAAATTAAAAGAACAAAAATTATTATTAATTTTCTCTCATATACCAATATTTTATTTTTAATTAATTCAAAGTTAATTACATTTAATTAATGAATACTAACAGAGAAAAATGTCAGTATAAAATATTAAAAAGATCATTTATTTCCATATCAATGTTCAAAGTATTATAACTGAATACGACTATATATTTGCATAAAAACATTAGAAATACTGTAGATTTTCTAATATGCAGGATCAATTAGATATTAACTCCCACTACGACCCACGTATAATATATAAAGATATATAGAGATGAATAAAATTTGTGAAGAATCAATTATATTTTAAAAACTTGTTATTAATTTTTACTACATATTTCAGTCTTTTAGACTTGTACCGGCTGTACCCGCGAACAAATCATATTTTCGGTTTCTGTTATGAATGGAAATATTTATCGCACAAATAATCTAAATTCTAAGCTTAGATTACATCTTATCTCGAGTGAACAAAGTTMATAGTATAATTTTTTACAACTATCGATAATTACTAATTAACTCTAGTTGTATGGATATTTAATCCAGATAATTATCAAGTTTTATTGAATTGTCCGAAATGGTCAAATAAGTAATACTGTCGCATAATATTATAATAATACCATTTTTGATTCTAAGCGGAGCATTAGTAAGATGAATAAAGGTATTGGGGTTTTACAAAAGTATTAGATGGGTGCTTTTTTTCTTTGATTTTCAACATTGAGAGTAGTTTTAGATACCAAATTGGATCAATTTCTCTGAAGTGTCAAAAGTATGTAATTCGCAACACTTTTTCAAAATAAAACATTAAAGAAAACACAATGGATGTTTGTTTATCTATTTTGTTTTTTTTTGTTTTTTGTCGTAATTTCAAAATAAATAATGGTAGCTACTGGAAATGTTCATATTAATTTTCAAATAATTTGACTAGAAGATTGACAAAATCACAAATAATTTTTAAATTAATTTATGATTAAACATATAATATACCTAGGTAGGTACAGTTTTATATTTTAATATCTATATGGCTAGAAAATTTAATGCAAAATTTTTTATAAGTGTTYATTTGGAAATTACAAAAAAAAAAAATAGCATAAAGCGATATTTTATGACCGGTTAAAAATGTTAACGACATTATAGGGTATATATTTAAATGTATACCTACGTAGATACTATAACAATGTTTATTATTTTGGTACTAATCAAAAAATGTTAATCATATAAACTTGAAACATTACACTATTAGGTAGATAGGTACTTAAATTATGTTTATCTTTATACTTATACAGTTGCATTTCAAATTATTAAGACTGATTGTAAGCTATTATTATAATAATTTATATATGGTATAAATCTATATGGACATTATTGAACCTTGTGCAGTATAGATTTAAAAATGATATAAGACATATTAATTACAATTATAATATGACATATCTAATACTTAACAACCTATAAGTAATAGGTAATACAATAATTAATAGTACAATATAATATTAAGCTATGTTTTTCGAGAAAATAAGTGTTAAAAAAATGTTAAATAAATGTTTATAAATTTAAGTGTTGTTTATATCACGTGTTACTAATAGAACAATAATTTACTTTTATATAACTAAATTAAATTATAGGTAGAGTTATAACGATTTATTTCACATACCCTTCGACCATATCTTATATAAAAAAAACAAGTGTATCCGAATTGTGTGTAAGAAAATCATAATATCGTCGAATATGATCGAATTTCGTGCAATTTTTTTTTCTCGACAGAGCTAATTAGCATGAAATATGAACAACGTATTATTATTTAATGTTCAATAAAAATTATAACATTAAAAATATATTGTATAATGTAGCAAACATTTTCAAAAATACAAGTAAATATATAAATTATGGATATTATAAGTAAATTATAATAAATTTGATAAAAATTCAGTTCAATTGTCATCAAAATAACAAAATAAAATTATAATTAAATAATTGGAATAATGTGTTAAAATAAATACCATTATATTCCATAAATTAATTTCATTTTTTTTTAACCAAGAACATACATTATTCAGAGAGATTCAATAAGCATGATCATTGATTGATCACTTTTTCTTTTTCAATAATAGGTACATTTATTTAAGATTTGATTTTTGGAATTTAAACAACTTCAAATAGAAAAATGAGGATGGCCATGGTTGGTAAATAAATCTGTATAGTRTATATTTATATAAAATATGTTAGCATCAAATGCTATGTAAATCATGTACCTACCTAATATGTTTGTTTTTATGTAATTAGGTTGATAATAATTATTGTAAGCAAGATTTCATACTGAAATACGTAACTTCTACTTCTCCCTACAATTGAGAAGTATCATAGCATAACAAATTTTTGATTATTGCTACTTATTACTTATTAGTATCTATTGATTTTAATTTAGATCTGGGGTCAGCATCCCGCGGTCCACGGGCCACATGTGGCCCTCATTGTATAATTACTCATTTAATGTGGCCCAAAAATAAATTAATATATATATATATATATAATAGGCATAGGTATTGTAATTAAATAAAATCTTAAATTACGAAAAGTTATAATTATTTTATTTACACTTGTATATTTTTTCGATAATTATAATACATAATATAAGTATGTATTCAAATCGTAAATATTTATTATATTCTAATAAAATGTCTAATCGATTATTAAACATATACTAAAGAACCAAAGTGTAAAATGATGTATGAATTAGGTGATACTGTCAACTTCCTAAATCCCAACAAATTATAGCTAAATCAGTTGAAATTACCATATAATAGTATTTTTTTTTTAAATAAATGAAGTAAATATTTCTGCAATACAAAAAATTAATACTATATTTATCACAATACAATTACAATGTATCAACACAATATACATTATTAATTATTATTACGGACAATACAACACCAATTAAATATCTGAACAAAATGTTTGGCAACATAATAGTATACGTTTATAGGGAACTGAAATTGAATAACAAAACATTGATGAAACCGACGATACATTACTCAAAGTTCCACGAAAAGATACACGTGTTTTTAATAACTGACACACACGAGAGAGTAACCACTGCTCTAAAAATCCAGACGATTTTATTTTTTATTATTATTGCGAAGGATAAATTTTACTTACTCAATCAAATGGGTACACATTTTTTTTTATTGGCGAATAATAGAATCAGTTAAATAATTATTATTGGCTCATCCTGTTTAATTTATTTTTTATAAGTATAATAAGTTTATCTCGACATAGTTGATTTAAAATTTAACGTTAAATTTAGTGTTTTTAATAATGCCTAATTTAAATATGTTCGATATTTTTAATTATTTAAAATCGGTATGCTTTCCTAGATAGTTATTCGTTATTACACGTCATAATTGTAAGCAACTTTACATGGAATCAAATTTGGTTTAGTGAAGTAAGTAGGTCAAGCTATCAAATTTAAAAAATAAAATATTGGGATTCGCATGCAAATCATACTTTCTTATGCGTTCGTAACCCATAAATATTAAATTGTAATAACTAATGATCTGGTGTTTTTAATACTATTGGATCATACAAGATACAACTAAAGATTTTTATCTAATGTTCACGTATTTTTTGAATTAATTACATATTAAGTAATACAAATAATATATTGCTATTAGCTTATTTTACATCTATTTATCAAAATAAATTTTAATATTTAACCATAACATAATTTTAAAAACTATTTGATTCGATCAAAAAATAATATAGGTATAATATAGTTTTTTTTTTCTTTTAACCATAATTATAATCGTTCAAAACACTTTCTTTTACTTCGAGCTATAATATTTTTTACAGTGATTGGCCATTGACAATTTAACTATAATATCTGTGTAAAAAGGGAGCCAGTCTGTGAAAAATAAAATAAGTCTACTTTGAAGTAGGTAATAAAAAATAATCAGAGCTCAAATTGTGAAGTAATAACATAGGTTTATATAATCTAGAGTCAATAAAGATAAACAAATGTTTTGGAATAATCAATTCAAAACATGATATTTATAAATCTATAACAATAAAATATAATCTCTATATGACATTGATTCCAAATACATATTATTATTTGTCATAGGTACGTCACATATTATATTATCTACTGCTATTAGTATTAACTATTAAGCAAAAAATAAATTCAGCATTTCCACAAGATTTTTGATGAAAAAACAATCAAATTTCAAAAAAATTTTAAATAATTAAAACTACTTTTTAATTTATTATCATTTATTACAAACTATAATATTATGAATATTAATTAATTTTAATTTCCGTGAATCACACACAAGCACCTATATAACTGGCACCGGGACATCAGGTCTCCTGGTAACAAAATAATATATATCTATGTTTCAATTAGTTAAACCACTGAATACTAATCTTTAATAAAAAATTGTATTTTTACATAAAAATTAGTTTGTTCTTAATTCAAAGGGAACAATACCAAGCACATAATATCGTAGAAGAAAAAGTACCTATACATATAACATTTCCATAAAACACACACACATGTACCTATACCTTTTAAATTACTCAACAATAAACATCCGCGTGGCAACCTTTATTAATTTTGAACTTTATTATATGATATAACTTTGTTTTAATTTAATAATCCATTCCATGATTCAGTGTGAAATTAGATAAACTTGATTTCTTTTATTTATTTATATTATTCGGATTGTTCAGAATATCCCATATACTATGAAACAAGGAAGGCTTATAATGCTTTTTGTTAGGTAGTGTCTGTCAACACGTATTACAGAATAAACTACTTCAATCATGGTTTATGGTAAAAAAAATTACTATAATAGATGATTTTTAAGTAGGTAGATACTTTGTGTGGAAAATCCTCTATGCTTTTTCTAACGATTGGGAAAAACAACAAAGAAATGGGAATATGGAAATGCAACACCAGTTTTTGAAAAAATTGTTAAAGGTTTTTTTTTGAAATTCAGAAAAAATAACCGTAAAGACTTGAAATGTTCACTAAATTTTTTTTAATTAAGTATTTTCTAGGTATTATAAATCGTCAAAATAGTTTGAAATGTTCAATTTATATGTTGATAAAGATTTTATTTCTCGACTCCCTAATAAAAATTTGAAAATTTAATACCAAGTTCTTCATAAATTATTTTCTCACACCAATTTAAAAAATTCAAAAATACATAATATGCATACATTATTTTTTTAAGTGTTGAGAAATTTAATTTTTTAGGTACTAGACATAAACAAAAAATACAATTTTAGTTTAAGTTTAAATTTGTAAAATATTAATCATGGCAACTGTACATTAGAAACTTAAAAATTTCCAAAATTACGTGCATTATCATTTTCTGAATGAAATGTTTAAGATTTTAGAATAATCTTAAGCTATTATTAAACCATACCACGAACATACCATTCTACGGTACGTTAGTTTTGAATTATAACTTATATTATGTTATAAATATACCTGTGGTTATGACTCATCTCCTTCGCATTTGAATCATTATAAGTATAAAAGTATAAAACTAGGTAATGAAATCATTGGAATAAAAAATTAAAACAACAGTAGACTATTTCGAGTCACTACAATATGTTTACATTAGAAGTGAGTTTCGGGCTTTTTTTAAATTAAAGTATTTACAAAAAAATAACAAATAAACGTGGAAATTATGATAAGAACGCTGTGATTTTCGACTGTGTTTATGGACAACATGTTAATTATAATCATAATATTCCTTTGATATAGGTAAGTACGATAAATATAGCAAAATGTTGTGTTAATATTATTTTTTTTAATATGTAAGATCCCTTTCATATATTATTATACTTAGCCACGGTATAAATGTGCAATATACACTTGCTAATCAAATATTTTATACTAAAACACTTTGATATAAAAATATTCTGGATACTTACCTACGCATCTAACTATTGTAAAGTTGATTTCCCGTGGTACTGTATATAATTTGAATACAATAAATAATTATCTGTAATTTGCTTCCAAATAAACTAAATATTCCTATTCCGAATTCTACATGTGTGACCTTGAAAATATTAAATAGTTTACTGTGTTATTGTGTATTATAATATAATAATAGGAAGCCGTAATAACACTAATAACTATTATCCGTTTTAAGTAAAACTTTCATAATGACAAATTAAAATTCATGATAGGTATTATATCTATACCTCCACCTACCGTTAATTTTATTTTAAAAAGATCGGTTATAATATTTTTAATTTGTTATACTTGAATAACAAATTATTCAACTTTTAACTATTTTAACTATTCTGAAAAATTGATTTATTTACAAAAATACCTAATGTTTTCATTTCAATTACAATAAAGGTAGATACATTATTTTATCTGTTACAATATTATACATTCAATAATATCAATCATTAATTTTAATCAGTAACGATTCCTAAAAAAATATCACCAAACACGTGTGCAATGTATACCTATAAAACATTAATTTATTTAGTGGTTACCTATTGATAATATTGTCAATAATCATTGTATACAAAAAAATCGTGTACACGCCAATACGTATAATATGCGTTAAAACAATACAGTTATTTTAAATAACTACTTATTGTATATTTAATGAACAATGAGTTTTGTAAAAAATGTTTTAAATAAAAATAAATAAATAATTATACTGACTTACACAAAATGTCGATTCAGTAGCTATACTGCAGTTTAACAAGGTATACTTAAACTTGGTTTACAATTTTACTGTTGCTTTTGTCACTGGTACTATAATAATTATTACTGATGTTACCATCCTTTAATTTTGTCAAGCAATATTCACATTGGAGCGTGCACACAGAATAAATATTACACTACACACAGTTATATTATAACATAGGTACACGCTGTCATGAAAAATCGGTCAGTGCGCAGTCCGACGTCCGTTCAACAATGATAACAACAATGTGGGTTTAACAATTTTTATATTTGCCTAATAACTGATATTTTATATTTATCAGTAATATTAGATGTTATCTTGACACTTGTATGTGCATTACCAACTTTTATTGCATTAAGAGTCATTCAGTCAGCCGTTCGGATTAAGGTAATCACAGGCTGTATAATATGACTAAATTAGTATAATCGTTTAAACATGTTTGTATAAACACAAATAATGATTTATTAGCTACTTATAGCTAAAACAACTAAATTCATGGGCTGTCCTAGGAGAAGTATGATGGGGTGAGGTGACTTTTCATATTATTATATGGCCTCCATTCCGGCATAACAAGTAAAACTTTATTTGAACAAATATTATGTAGATACAATAATAATCATTTTAAAATATTGTACGCAAAAACATCTCCAAAACCTTTATGGGTGATATCTTAATACAATAGTTAATAATACCTATTATATGCTATGTAGTGTAAGTGTATTGTTTCTTGTATGAAAGATATAGATAATTATATGAATTAGAAAACGAACACTATTACCAGCATTTATGCATTTTGATTATTTTTAGTACCTACTTTAGAGAATGATTTTAACTAGGTATTAAGGATATTACATTTTTAATTGATGCCTATATAAGTACTGACATTTTTTTTTGAATAGCTGCATTAATAGCCCTTACTAATGTGGAGATTTTTTTTTAATAGATAATTTTATAAATAAATATAGAAATATTTCTTAATTTTGTGTGTGTGTCTGTAAACAAGATATTAAGATTAGTTATCGGAATAATACTATAATTTTCATAATCACGATTTTTGACTATAAGCATTTTTTTTTTTTTTAACTAGAAAATTGTACAATCTGTAAAGTGATGATTACAATGAGAAAAAGTGATTTAAAAGTTTTAGAAAAATAGGTAATATAAAGCATTTAAATTTCGAATTCATGAAAATCATTTGGAAATTATTTTAAAGTTAAATATTTATTAAATGTTCAATTGTTATACCTAATAATTTAAAATTTAAAAAGAGATTTCTAAAAAAAGTAGTTGATACTATGTTTGTATGGATATTTTAAGATCAAATTTGAATGAAATTAGAAATTTAAAGGAAAAATAATGATTTCAGTTACCCCTTTTTGTTGCAATTTAAAAAAATATATCATGTAAGATGACAGACTAGCTTCGCTCAGAATCGTTTTTCGAGTGCAATGATCGTAGATCATTGAATTCAAATTTAACACATTCATAACAGTGACTGACATGACAACTAATTTACATACAACAAAACGGTATATCTCCTTGTCCGCTTTTTTTATTTTTTACTTTATATATAAAAATATTTTTATTTTATACTTCATTCTTTTAAAATCAATTTTTAAAGTGACAAAAATATAAAGCGTAAAGTTAATCAAATTTTACTTATTTATTTTTGCATCAGATTTGAAATTAAAACCACGTACTTTCTATGTAGTGTTTAATAAAACAGAGAATAAAAGCAAAACAAACATATAAATACAAAACAAAAATATTCATTTTTCCTTATGATAATAATATAATCTAGTAGCATTTATCAATTATTTTACTACATCTGAACAGTAAGATTGTTTAAACAGTATGTATTATCCGTTATCCGTCAATTGACTTACAATTTACAAATTATAAAATGCAAATAATATTAATATCAATTGTTTTTGTGTACTTACCAAGTTCGCAAAATTGCCTTTTATTTTGTATGTAAATTAGTTGTATTGATATTAAAATATGATGAAGTACTTAAATCTCGAGAGCTCGCAGTTTGGGAGGTAGGCAGGTTGTAGGTTGACACTGTTGAATTAATCACAAATGTTTCAACCGTACATGATAAAACAAATTATACGAGATGGTAACTAGTAGGACCACTAGGATGAAATGGTGGAGGCAATGTAAAGGTAACCATTATAGCTTGTAGTGTTACTTAATGTTTTTTCACTGTAGGTACCTATATATAAACTGTAAATGATTGCAATGGTATATAATAAAGCACCGTTCAATTAAAAATTTATAAATATTTATCGATAAATAAGTTGTATAAGTTCAAGGCTACTTGTATTATGAACATTTTAAGTTAACATTGCAGCGTAATTTGCAGGCTTTTAGTTGTAATCTCAAAAGCGAACTAAATGCAATTGATAGAGCAGATCATAGGAAGAACCAGGGGGTGTGCAGGGTATGCGAAGGCACCCCCTAAACGCACAGACAATTTAGTGTGGAGTTCAAACGTCGTATGATATTGTGATTTATCAATGTATATAATTATTATTGTGATGTAATATTATGGATATAATAAAATATAGAATTAATTTTTTTTTTTTTTAGGAGGAGAAGGACAAAAATATTCGCACCCTCTGAACGTGAAGGCTGGCTCCGCTTATGGAGCAGATATATGTATAAGCACAACATAATATTATGGCTATATAGTTATTTTCAAGTGTCAGTTTTTAGAAAAATCAATTGTTCTATTTATATATCAATACAATTTATAATTATGCAATGAATTAAATAATATTATAATAGTACAGTGGGTATAGTGTAAAAATGCATTATAAATAGCTACAATGTTGATATTGTTTTAAGGAAAAAGAAAATGTTTTTTTCTAATCATAGTTAAACAATTTATATTTACATATTACTATAATAATAAATTATAGTTTATTAATCTACAGAGATTCTGAAACTGTAGGTCGATATTATATGTTTGATGGCTCACCAAAGTTTTGAAAATATATATTTATTTTTATAACATAAATTATCTTGTAYTAGAATAATTAGATAAATATAAAATTAAATATATTTAAATATATTGTAATCGATGAGGTATATTTATAAATAAAAGTTAATAAAAGAAATATAAATACATATATATAATGTATTAATATGAATATATTATGACACAGTATTTTTCAAAATAAAGTATTTATTTGGATACTTAATATATAAATGAAGTTTAATTTCTATATATAGGCGCAAATAGCATTTTATATTTGAGGGGAGGCTGAAACACTTTTGTAGTATCATATAATAATATTGAATAAGCTTTAAAAAAAAATTACTAAATGTTTGGGAGGGCTATTAATATTTTTGGGTGGTCTAGTCCCTAAAGCCCCCGAGTTTTACACCTATGCATGTGGTTATTGAATCGTTTTATCATAATCAGCTACGATTACAATATAATTGTACCTGCAGTGAAAAATCGCAACAACGCTAACGTATTAAAAGTTATCGTATTAGTACTTAACCTATAATTTAACGACTAACGAGTATACAACTATAAACAGTCATAAAAATGTAGTAATACAATTTTCTGAAGTTAAAATAGAAAATGGACCAATAATTGTATGCCACATCGAGGGCCATAAAATCCTTAATCCAGGTATGCCTATTTTATAATTAGTTACACCATTAACGCATAGGTGAATATTGAGTTATAAATTTAGTCGGATAGCACATTATTTAAAGCAAATTTTTGTTTTTGACAAAAATAATCTATAAAATATTTTATTATTATATATTCTATATTAAACACACCGACAGGGCCATAGCTACGGGGAGGGTTTAGGGGGTTCAACCGAAAGGAGGGGGGCCTTTAACAAAGTAGAAAATGTATATTCTAGTATATTCTAAAGTTTAAAATGTTTATTTTTTAAATGATTTTTTTTTTAAACTGAATATAATATTATAGTAAATTTATAGTATAGTGTCCAAAAAGTATTGATAGCTATATAGTGCATTGTGATAATTGAAGAGTTTACATAATAAAACAAAATAGAGACAAATTAATTCCGATCATTGAATGCATTTTACTATGTGGTTACCACGAAATTCTTGAGGCAGTATGAAAGAGATATGGACCCTCCACATAGAAAATTCCTAGTTACGGCCCTACCTATGTACTGCAATAACAGTCCTTTTCTTATGAAAATATGCTCGTAGCGTGGATTAATTTTATATAATGTAGAATGTAGATAAACATAATAATACCCACTGGGGGGAGACACGATGACGAGACGATTTGAATGTAACTACTCCGGTTTGGCCATATTCCAATATAATGATCACAAATATAAATGGACGGTGCCCGTGAATTGTAAATACACTCGTTCACAGCCTATATAATTCGTCAAATTGTAATAGTTCGAGAATTTTTGAAACGATCGTAAATTCAGCTTTGTGGTGACGGTACACGTTAGGTAACCCGTTGAAATTGCGCCAGCGCTATAGAAATACCATTAGCTATGTGAATATGTCATATGCCATTTACCTATATATTCAATATTTATTTTTTACTATTTGAATCAGGATTTAAATGTTGTCGCCACGCCATTTATCGTGATTCGTGGTGACCGCCGCAAGCTTTGGTGTAGAGCAGAGGTTCCCAAACTTTTTACAGTATGACCCATTTTGGATAAAATTTTAATTTTGAGCCCACAACATAACTTATGATTGCGGTTATTTGTGGTTTCACCAATTGCTACTCGGGTACTCAAAGCCACCGCCTTATTTTATGGCAGCACCGACCCTAAATATGGTTTTGTCAGTCATATATATATATACTCAGATTACGTGTCATATGTTTGCAATAGCCGTATGGGTACTGGGTAGGTCACAGGTATCTACGCAATTATAATTTATATATTATTAAATCGGACTTGCAACGCACATCTCGTGAGACTATATATAAACGCTCTTATTAATTTTCATTGTTGATGAGTGATGACAAAACTACAATATTATAACTTTCTTACCTTCAGTATTGTAAATTGAAAGTCCACCAACCACCACTATATTGAATAATGAAATTCGAGTAGTTATTGTAAACAGTATATTTATTAATTATTATACGACCCGTAAAAAAAAATTAATACGATTTAGCGGACACGATGCTGACTCGCTGAATAAATCCAAAACGATCACCATAGGTACATTTTTTCCGTTGACAGTTTTGAAACTCTATTGAATCGCTATTTGTTTTAATTCTTTTTTCACGCCGATCATGCGCTACCGTCGGGTGTTCTTAAATTAATCCGATGGCCAATCGAACCGTCGAAATTGTCTATCAGTCGTCACACCACGACTAACCGCGTAACAAAAGCTTAATATATTATTTAGATGACGTTCATTGTCATACACTTGTGACAGCATGTGTAGGTAAGCTGTCTCCGTCTTATAAACGCATATAATACGGGAAACGCTAAGAACGATCCAATTCGAGTTTAAAGCGGATGATAAAAAGTTGTACACACAGTTTGCCAATGTTCAACAAAAAGCCGTTCAAAGATATTTTGGGGATCGGGCATAATCATGCAAGAGGCACCTTTTGCATGTATTTATGTTTTAATCTAGTTACAACAATGTGCCGAAACGCTGAAAGCTCTAATAGTCTAATGTACTGTAGTTTTTGAAGGTGACAAAGGCGGTTAATGAGTGCGTTTCAACTAATTTAGTGTAAAAATACTTACAATTTTAGATCAGAGAATTTCCAGTACCTAGGTGTACTCGGTAGACAGCAATCGACTCCGACAACCATCTTGCACGATACGCACTGTAATTAAATAATTATCATGTATCAATAAAGAATACTAATGAATATTGAATATAAAATATGGAATTTACAATATAAATTATATCCATAAAAGAAAAATTATCCACAGCATAAGTATTAGCATAACGCACTGCAAGTATTTATAATCAACGGTAATAAGTATTAGTGGCAGATTTAAGCGGGGAGTAATGCCTATATATAGCTTCCTCATCGGCCTAATAGTATAATAAATAAAAAAATACACATTTAAAATTATTGTCTATTTGTATATTTTAATTATTACTGCGAACAAATTTAAGATCTGAATTTTAAGTCACCACACTTACTTATTATACACTGTATGTATAGATTGTAAATAAACTTTTATCGTCAATAAAAAAAAAAATATAAATAAATCCTGGATCCACCACTGTAGAAACCTACCACAAATAAATAACAATAGACATTTTCACATTTAAATTATATCTTTGTAGTTCATGATGTTCAGTTCATTAAATATTATTACAGTAAGTTGTTATTTCTATCTGGTGCAGACGTGCARTCATTAATGCAGATACCTATAAAATCGTCGTAACAATAATTTAAATTTGTATTTTTCGATTAAATTGAATTGGATACACTGAGCTACTAACTCTGAACGAGCTTGATGTCAGCATAATATGTAATCGAGTTTCAATTTTTAACTCGATCTAATTGTTTTTTTTGTTTACAAGAAATAAATTATTTATTTTATCCATTTTTATGCAAAACGCCCCCACGTTGGTGGATTAGCTGTTATATATATATGTATACATAATAGTACTATTTATAATCAATGGTACTAAACTTAGATAGACATACGTAACATCCATAGATGTAAGCTGGTATTCTACCTAAAAGTCCGGTAAAAAAAGACCCTCGAAAAAAAGTCCGATGTAATAAAAGTCCGGTTAATTTATTATCGGTTTAGTTTATCGTTTGTTGGCGACTTTATTAAATTGGGTCACCTAATAGGTACTATTATCCTTCAGTAGGTATTATCCATTATAAGCGATAAGAATATATTGGAAGTAGCTTCACACACTTGGTAGGTCATAGTCATTCAACAATATGGGTGCTAAATGCTAATTAAAAAAATCAAGTTAGAGATTGGAGCCGATAGGGCAAAAATAACATTAAGCAGTAGATACAGGACAAACCATGAAAAAATCAAAAATTAATCAAAAAAACATCAGGCTTGAAACATTATGCAAACGAATTCATAACTCCGAGCTAAGTGTTGAAGAGTTTTTAACTCAAATGGGACATAATATTAGGACACGGCTAAGGTGATAGGTTAAGGATATAGATTTGTCATTCTGAACTCAAATGTAATAATTGTATTATAAATTATTGCTATTATTTTTAATAATATCAATGTTTTCTTGTACGACATGAAATTTTTATTTTGTATATATTATTTTTATTTAAAGTCACAATCAATCTGTCCAAAAAATTATAATGTCATATTTTATGCAATATTTTAATTTTTATTGTACCTACCTATCATATTGATTGTAATAATTGTATTATAAATTATTGTTATTATTTTTAATAACATTAGTGTTTTCTTGTACGACATATGTATAATAAATAAACCGGACTTTTGTTCGTAGATTCATGTAAGCTGGGAACGTCTTAAATAGTTTCAAAAAAAAAAAATGTTGACATAAATTTATGCCATAACATGGACGGCAGCCATTTTAATAATAACGACGGGAAATGACAAGTGTAATATCTACTACTACCCCGAAAGTCCGCGGAAAACCCTTCTTCAATAGATTGAATAAATAGTTCGCCGTTCGCGAGTTGTATTTGAGATTTCAGTCGAAGCAATCAAATTATGTTCTTTTTATTCGACAAATC